GAAGATATCTGCGCAACTCACCAAGGTCAGTGCACGTGTGTCTCTTCTACAGCTCCGACTTCACAAGGGCCAGTGCCTCAGTGTCAACAGTAGCAAAGACTAAATCGTCGACGTACACGTGGATGTAGAACGGCGGCAGCGAAGTGTCGGTGCTTAGAAATAGTGATGGGTCAGCAGTCGAAGGAGTAAACCCAAGAGCCACAAGCGTCGTCCTCAGTGTGTCGTGCCACTCGTAGACTGACCGGCGAAGGCTCCACTTGGTACCCTCAGGAAACGACCCAGTGAAGCCAGGTGGGCGGCGTAGCCAGATCTCATGTAGGCTGCCCTGTAGGAAAGCTGTGCTGAAGTCAAGCGAGTGGAGCTCGTAGTCACGCTGTGCTGCAACATGCAGTGACACCCAAAGAGTGGCCATCTTCAGGGTGGGGGAGAAGGTCTGAAAGAAGTCGACCCAATGTCGCTGACTGAAGCCTCGTGCAATGTAACGCGCCTTGAAGACAGGCGGAGAACCCGGCGACCACTTCACTCTGGAAATCTACATGCCACTATGTTCGCCCCATGTAGGGGAATTGCGTCGACGTAAGTGCATGTGGGCTTCCAGGATGCCATCTCTGTGTCCGTGGTTGCCTGCCACTAAGAGGAGTACTGACCTGTGATCGCCTCTGCGTAAGAGCGCGGAGTCGGGATGTCTAGTGCATCCGGGTCTCCCTTAGGGGCAAGCAGCATGGCAGCGAGATGAGGTACAGCAGCCGCAAGACACTCGAGCTCAAACTGCCTGTCCTCAAGGACGTCCGTGTCAAGGGCACACCCACCCTCGACGGACGGAGGACATTCGGACTCGGACTCGGTGACAAGACTTGCAACGTAGTCGAGATGACACGCAGCAGCAAAGTCAATAAGCTTAGTGACTCAGCCTGTACTATGGGCATGGAACTTCGCGGGGACTCTCTGTGGAAACAGATACCTATCAATGATGCCTAACAACCTACATTTGTTCTACGTTGGCTTCTGGCTCTACGTCCGCGCTGCTCTGCGTGGCGGTCCCGCACGTGCTGCCTTGCAGGATGAGTAAGTGCCAGCATCGATGAACGCACACTCTGTGTCCTTTCTTTGAGTGCATGTGGGATCCGCGATGCTACGCTTGATGATGCTCACTCCTCACACGCATGGATGCGCTTGCATATCCGTGTGTGCATGCGCATGGAGACCCTATACCCAGGAGCGAGACTGGCTGGCCTGAACCAGCCAGGGACAGGCACATACTGGTCCTCTGGCGCCAACTTTACGACCACGGAACACGCTGGAGTGATGATGGTACGCCCTTCCGAGTAATGAGTGGACCTTTTGATGAGATTGTGGTCGGCTCGTGGTTGTTTTTGTTTACCGATGAGATTGATTCGCCACCTAACCTAGCCACCGGCTATATTGATCATGCTTGGCAGGTGGCTCCATTCCTCGTGGAGGGCGAGGGCAACATCATAAGCAGGCGTGTGCTCGTGGCTATCCTGGACTAGCATGAGACGCACCTCCGAGCGCCATATCACAGCGACGCGTTTCTTGCAGAGTTCGATGCCGCCACGCGGAGGTAAGCGATCTCACGTTCTAAGCCTTCACGATCGTTTTCTGACCACGTTGCCTTCCGGACCATGAACTCAATAAGGGCACCAGAGGGCAACAAACAAACTATATTTCATTGTATTTATGTGGCTTTCAGGATGGTGGCACTCGTGGAAAGCACGTTTTCCCGAACCAGCAGCTGTGGTTAAAACTTAATCAAGGTCCACCTGCTGCTGCACCTTCTTAAGGCCATCAAGGAAGCCGGTCTTCCGCGTAAGTTCTTGGCCGCGTTCCATGAGAACGCGCACATCCGGACGTGCAACATTCCCTACCGGGCCTCGAACCACCCACAGCATGGCAAACAAATCGCTGCACGCAACGCCATGGCAGCGATGCTGACCACACTGCCCAGCAGCCTTTCCTGGGCGGGCCGCTATAACACGGCCCTGCAGCGTGTAACTCGGGTGCCTAAAGGAGCACTTGTATCTATGCTCTCTTCGTATGTATTATTTGCACGTGCTAGGGGGACCTGTAGCTACACAGTGTGACATGTATGGCAAAGGGCAGCAAAGCGCATACACCACTGTTCCCGCCAACAGTTCCTAACAGTACACCTTACTACTCGCGACACTCGCCTCGACTACTGTTTCCGCCACTGTTCACGACGCGACCCAACCTCACGGTTCGGTTGGTAACCTTTGCTCCGGACCTCTACCTCGGCAATTCCCCACCTCGGGGCTAGGCCCATAGTGCACCCCATTTTCAGATGTTACCGTTACCACCCTAGCTTCGCTTCGCTTCGATAGTGCAATTCTCGCTCGCTCGCTCAATTGCACTCGTAACACATACACTAGTCTACAAGAGGTGTTCCCCCCATCAGTTATGTTGAAGTTTGCCGCATTGACAGGTTTTGCCAACGTTTTACAGTAAATCACCTTCTATGGAGGGAGGAGCAGCAAATGACAACAGCAGTCCTCTTTCGTTGCGCATGACGTGTGTACGCCGCAATGTGCCTGTGAACAGTCAGCTATCGCTGCCGCAATTCAGCGGGATGACATCAGCTGCTTCTCACCACCTCGAACCTGAGCGGCATTTCGCGTCGTTTTGCACATGTGAGGTTGGGGGGGAAGTCCGACGCGACGCGAACCAACAAGAGTTGCATTCCATGCCAAGCCTCCCTCTCTCCATCCCACACGAGCAACACGCTCTGCTTCTCCCTTGAATCAGCAGAATTTAACTCCGAAATCATGATGGCCCACCTAGCCAAACCTCTTGCCAGCACAGCAAACGTATCCGCACCGTCAGCTCCGCGAACAAGACACAGCTAGCACGTGGCTGGTTTGGCTCAGCAACCCTTCGTCCCAACCAGCCAAAACCTTGAGTTGAGAGTTTCGTTGTGTTGCAAGTTGCAACCACCCAAGCCCCGCGCAACCAACCAACCCAGGCACGATGGTGGCGCCATTAGAGCGTGTTACATCTGCCCTATTTTCAAGGATCACGTAGCTGAGATCACCAACACCCCAACCGTAGGATTGAGTGTGGTCAAACAAGAAGTTTTTGGGGCACATCACGATCCTTGTTGGTGTACCATCTGCAAAATTGCAGTGGTGATCCCCTGCGACCAGGCGACGTCGCCTGAAACGACGCGACAGTCGCGATTTTTGGATGTGTTAATTGACCATGTTGACTGCGTTACTGGCGCGAATTCAACAGCCTCATTGGTTCGAATTCCATCAAAAGAATGCTCTGATTAGTTGCGAGCTTGTTACAGAAAATTGCGACATAAAACTTTTCGTCTTCAAGGATCACCCTGTCTTTGGTACAATGATGCAAGGATCACCGAGAGATTGGCAGTCACCATGATCTCTCGGTAAACACCAAGATCGGGTAGCGTAGGGAACTCGTGATTGCGATCCTTCCTCAGTTGGTACATCACCTGACACAGTGATTACTGTAGAGTGGTAGGTATGACACTGTTCCGCAAGGATCGCCTGCGCGATCCTCAAAATGCAGCAATCTTTGCTTGGGTGTAACACGCTCTTATCCAGAGAGCAGCATCACTTGCTCGCTGCCGCTGCTCCCACACACCCAACCTCCCACCTGTTTGCCTTGCAGTGCTGCATTGCTCAGGCTGTTAGTCCTCAGTTATGCTTGCTTCCTCAGTTTCCGTTCCGTCTCCTTTAGGAAATTATATAGTTAGTCACAATTATGCCCGGATTATCACGTTTGGTCATGGGGGTATCACGAACAGTCACAGTACACTTCGTAACTATCACGTGTGATCACAGTGCTATCACGGATAGTCACAGCTTGCCCCACAAGTCTATCACGTTTGGTCACAGATGAAATGCCCAATTAATTAATGTAACTACTAAAGTAACTGTTGGGAGAAAGGGGAAATTCATATAGCGCGCGCTGTTTTGTCCGTAGTGTTGCGAGATGCTGTTACTTTCGAAATATTTTCGCGACCACTCTCGTTAACTCGCAAAAACCATTGGTAACATCGGAAAACTAGCTCGTTGCGCATGGTTTCACGGTTGGATTGTCCACTGTTCGATTTGGGCATAATGACCCTAAGAATATTACTTTTAGGCGGGTGGAACTTGAATGTTATTTTTCCTTCCCAAGAAACTACTAAAACCCGTTCGGATGGGATTTCTTTCTGGAGGCATCAACCCTAAATACCTTGTCGCAAGGTGTTTAGGGTTGATGCCTCCCGAAGGGTGTGCCATCCTTTGGGGTTTAGTTTTTTCTTCAGTCCCCTAAATGTCAGACTAGAATCATGCGCGAGGGTAACCAGCAATCGAGATTGGGATTCCCCCAAATCTCTACAGTTTCTTTTGTGGTTTTAAATAAATTATACTCGTTACATCGAGCGACCAAACGTGATAGCTTTTCGGGGCAAGGTGTGACCATCCGTGATAGCACTGTGATCACCCGCGATAGAAATCTACTGTACTGTGACTGTTTGTGATACCCCTGTGACCAAACGTGATAAAACGCGGACAACTGTGACTTCCCGTATAATTTCCCGTCTCCTTTTCACCCTGCTTGCAGTTGTCGAATGCCATCGTTTCTGGTGCAACCGCACAAAAATCAACCTTGCAGTCGTCCACTCTGACCTGGCACTCAACACCATCCAGTTCCCGTAACCAGGACCCAGGTTCTCAACACGAATCGAAACTTGTTTTCTGCTCCCTCGGAAACGTTATCCTCGTAACCGCAGCCCCTCCTTTTCCAGCCCATCAGGCCAGACACCTCAAAGCGATTACTGTAATACACGTCGAATAGCTTCCAAACCAAACGTCAATTACAAACTAGTACCCGACAATTGACATCATCCACGTGGCATCATGGTGAGCCTGCGGCAGATGTTTTCGTCGAAGAAGTCACAGGCGCTGCTCGTGCTGCTGCCTGATGGCTCAATGAAGATGTACACCAAGAAGATGACCGTTAAAGACCTGCTCCTCGAGTTTCCCGCCTTCACCGTCGCCCTCGACCCCGCGCCCGCGCCCGCGCTCGACGAAGAAACCATTCTCGCCGCCGGTGGTACCTACTATCTTAATCCGTTAGACGGCGAACCGCCCGATGCAGACGCCGCGGGTAACGAACGCCCAGCCCTTCCGCCGCGGAGCGCAAGCTGCGACCAGGGCGGCGGGTCGGCGGGGCAGGAGGTTGCGCGGGAAATGGGCGGAGTGCCTTCGCGGACCTTTTCCGCCGCCGCTGCTCTCGCGCGCGTGGATGACGGCCCCGGGGAAGCCGCAGCGCCGGCGGCGGAGCCCGCTGCCCCAGCAGCGCCCTCGAAGCCGAAGGAAACGGACAGCTATGCTGACGTGGACGACGAACTGCTTGCGTACCTGGTGAGTGGCGAATTGCTCGTCGCTTGCCGTTTCTCGTCTATGATTGCTCGTCGATAATTGCTCATCCGCGGATGCATGAGTTGTGCGCGGTAGAGGGGCGATGTAGATAACTTGCGATACAAGACAAATGCCTCTTTTTTTCGGGGTGGATGTGCGAAAGACATTGAGATTTTTACAGCTTAGGAATCTGTTAACGTGTGTGTCACGAAAGCGATCTCATTTTCATTGGCGCGCTTCGTCTACGACTCCTCTTCCAGCAAACGAATCATGCGCAACCACCTCACACCGCTTCACCCACCGCATCTCTCCGCTGCATCCCTCTCGTAGTCGATCCGCTTTTATCCAAGTCGTCCTTTTTTCCTCTCCGCGATTACCCTTCAGGATCTGGGCGACACGCCTGCAGCGCCGCCCGCTCCTCCCGCGTCGCGCCACATCACGAAATTCGGGCAGGAGGACGCGTCGCTCTTTTCCGACGCTGGCAGTTCCTTCGGGGGCAGTGCGCGGGGTTCCCCTGCCGTCGGGGGAAATTCCCCTTCTGGGTTCGGCGGGCCAGTGCTCTCAGGCATGAACGCTCTGAGCGGGTCAACTGGGGGCGGGTCGCCTATGGTTGGCGGAATGGCGCGGAGATCTATGGGCATGGAGTATGGAGGGAGTTTCCAACAACAGCAACCGCTGCAGCAGCAGCTGCAGCAGCAGCAGTACTACCAGCAGTCGCCGTCCAGGCCTGCTGCAACAGCAGGCGCGGCATGCTATGGCGGTATTCTAGGCCGCACTGCCATGATGACAATGAATGCGGGAACGAGCCCGAGTCACAGTGCGAGTGGTAGTGCTGGCGGCGGCGGCGGTGGTGGTAACAGTGGTAACCTTCTCTTTGGAGGGCACATGGGAGCCAGCATGGCACCACCGCCTTCAGGCAGTAATAACATGATGATGGGAGGAGCTTCTGCTGCTGCTGCTGCGGCGGCGGCGGCGGCGGTGGGTGGTAACATGGGCATGGGTGGAGGGCAGTACAGAAGGCCTGGGCCAAAGATGATGGGGGTGATGGGCGGGGTAGCGCTAGAATCTCCTGCCACGCATCTAGATCGCAACGACAGCTATTCGAGTGCTGGGTCAGGGGGAGGTTCAGGAACGTTCAATGTGTGGTGAAGCACGTCTTTTGGGGGGATTTGCACACTGGGAGGAGGGTAGTGGTGGTGGAGGCTTGGAGGTTTGAAGGTGCGTTGTAGGATCCCTAGGTTTGACTGTTTTTGCTGCTGGTCAAGCGAACACAAATATGCAGGTTTTTGCTTGCATGTTCTAGCTTCAGGCTGTTGGTGCACAGTTTCTTTTTGCAAGCTAGTCTAATGATACTTGTATATTTCTTAGATTGATACTTACAAACTAGTCTAATCTTCTGCTGTCTACATCACTTATGAGGTTTTACAAGATGGTAAGGTCTTGTTTCTGCTGAGTCATCCAGACTGTTTTTTAGACCAATTTCAGAATAAACTGTACGACGCTATGAGGGATACGCAACCCTCATAGCGGATTACCGTACGAGTGGATAACAATCGCCCAGCCCCACGGCAACTGTAGATGGAGTGGGTCACAGTGATTGTTTGCAGTTCATATATATCAATGTTCAGGCTGGTGCGTGGCGGTTTCAAGCGGTAGATTGGAATAACCATTTCAGAGTGTGGATCATCGTACTCAACCGCTTTCACCCTGCCCCACCCCATTCCCCCCCCCTATGCCCAGTTGCTCTGCCAGCTCTCTCTGTAAGCGCGTCGGCGATTGGCGAGGCGGCTGCACTCGACTCAGCACAGCACAGCAGCAATCCTGGCAAGCCGTGCAGTTTTTGCCCCAGCGCGGAGCGGATTGGATGTAGTGCTCTGAGCACACGTCTTGTCTTCTCGTCTCCCCAATCTTGCTTCACATTCTGTCTGTCCCTGTCGTCTGGGCTTGCTCGCACACAGCCTAACACCTATAATCAGCAGAGATCGTATCTTCATCATTTCAGTGCACTCTAGCTTACTCGTATCTTTGTCGTTCAGTGGTGAAAGACGTCTACTCGTACACCACAACGATCCCCTATGCCACACGGCGCGCGTTCGAATAGTAGTGACTCGATACAATAAATCATCTCTCCACTAGAACAATCGAACCTTGCAAACCGTCGTTTCTCGTTCCCGCAATGAAGACTAGTCCGCGCGTCCAGCCAATCGTCGTCGCGCGTCTCACCTCTCTCCTCCTCTCCCTCTCCCTCCCGCTCTTCCCCTTCCCCGCCGCCACCGCGCCGCGTATCGCGGAGGCCGTGCCGTACGTGGGGGGCTGCGCGGTGTTCCCGAGCAACAACGCGTGGAACATCCGCGTCGACCGCCTCCCCGTGCATCCGCGCTCCGCCGCATATGTGCGCTCCATCGGGCTCAACGAGTACACCCACCCGGACTTCGGCTCAGGTACCACTCAGTAATACTCGGTATTAATAAGTAGTACTCGGTACTACCAGGTACCAGTAAGCTCTCTGGTTGATTGGAAGAACCATTCCAGCATAAGCAAGGTCGGTCGCAAGCAGAAATTGTACCCAGTTGTAGATACACCACCTGTACCCCGCTCCCTGATTTCAACGCCCCAAGTCGCTGCGAAAATTCAGAAGCCCTGGAGTGAATTCTCGCTCCAAGTGCCACGTGGCCTTGGTCTCTGACTCTTGCATGCGGTTAGATTCAAATGATTGCGCACTCCCTGTCAGGGAGGAGGTGATTGAGCCGTGAGGTACGGGAGTAGTGCTCACAGCTCAAGGAGGAACCGATTCCTCCGCATCCCTCTTTCTCGCTCTCTTTCCCCCCCAACCCAACCTCCTCTCTTCCCCCAACTCTCCTTTCCTTCCACCTGCTCGTTGTGTAGGCCAATGAGACGGCAGGCCGATCGGCATCCCGGTGAACGTGGTCTCAAAGAGCACACGACGCGTGTTCCCAACCTCGAGCGCGGACCGTACCCCGTGGCGCGGATAATGGTCGGTGGAGGAAGTTTTCTAGATCCCTCTGCCTCCCTCTCCCCCCATCTCCTCTCCCCGTTTCTCCCCTCCCCTCCCCCGAACCCCCCCCCCCCCCTCCTCCGCGGCCGCGTAGGCCAATGGGACGGCGGGCCGATTGGCATCCCGGTGAACGTGGTCACAAAGAGCACGCGGCGCGTGTTTCCGACCTTCTACTACGGCGATGAGAGCGAGCGCGGACCGTACCCCCGTGGCGCGGCGCGGCGTGGCGGTGGAGTGGGGGTCGGACCACCACGTGCTGGCTGTGGACCGCGACGCGTGTGTGCTCTATGAGATCTACGACTTCTCCATGGATGGCAGCGGCCGCGGTGAGCCTCGAGATTGATGTGGTGCTGTGCTGTGCGGTGCTGTGCTGTGCTGTGCTGTGCGGTGCTGTGCTGTGCTGTGCTGTGCTGTGCTGTGCTGTGCTGTGCTGTGCTGTGCTGTGCGGTGCTGTGCTGTGCTGTGCTGTGCTGTGCTGTGCTGTGCTGTGCTGTGCTGTGCTGTGCTGTGCTGTGCTGTGCTGTGCTGTGCTGTGCATTGTCGTTGTGGGTGGTGCTGTGCTTACTAACACCACGACTATCTTCGTCTTGTGAGCCCACGAACCCTCCTCATTCAACCCTCCTCAATCAACCCTCCTCATTCAACCCTCCTCATTCAACCCTCCTCATTCAACCCTCCTCATTCAACCCTCCTCATTCAACCCTCCTCATTCAACCCTCCTCATTCAACCCTCCTCATTCAACCCTCCTCATTCAACCCTCCTCATTCAACCCTCCTCATCCAACCCTCCTCATTCAACCCTCCTCATTCAACCCTCCTCATTCAACCCTCCTCATTCAACCCTCCTCATCCAACCCTCCTCATTCAACCCTCCTCATTCAACCCTCCTCATTCAACCCCTGGAACAACCTCCCTCCCTTCTATACCTGCATTTCCCTTCCTTTATCTCCCTCCCACACACCCGCCTGCCACCACGAGCAGTGTCAGCAGGCAGTGGAGCCATTTGGAATCTGACCACCAACAAGCTCAGGCCTGCTGGGTGGACCTCCGCTGATGCTGCTGGCCTGCCGGTGAGACTGCTGGGCTCGGAATAGGGAGTGTGTGTGGCGAGTGTGCGTAAGGAGTGTGCGTGGGGAGTGTGCGTGGGGAGTGAGCGTGGGGAGTATGCGTGGGGAGTGTGCGTGGGGAGTGTGCGTGGGGAGTGGTGGGTGTGTTGTGGAAGAATGAATGGGGAGTATCTCTGAGCAAGGCAATGGCCGGCGTGCTCATGTGTGACACGCCACGAATCACTATCTGCCGTACCGCACCGCCCTCTTCCCTTCCCTCTCCCGCCCTTCCCTCTTCCCTTCCCTCTCCCGCCCTTCCCTCTTCCCTTCCCTCTCCCGCCCTTCCCTCTTCCCTTCCCTCTCCCGCCCTTCCCTCTTCCCTTCCCTCTCCCGCCCTTCCCTCTTCCCTTCCCTCTCCCGCCCTGCCCTCTTCCCTTCCCTCTCCCGCCCTTCCCTCTTCCCTTCCCTCTCCCGCCCTTCCCTCTTCCCTTCCCTCTCCCGCCCTTCCCTCTTCCCTTCCCTCTCCCGCCCTTCCCTCTTCCCTTCCCTCCCTCTCCCGCCCTTCCCTCTTCCCTTCCCTCTCCCGCCCTTCCCTCTTCCCTTCCCTTCCCTCTTCCCTTCCCTCTCCCGCCCTTCCCTCTTCCCTTCCCTCTCCCGCCCTTCCCTCTTCCCTTCCCTCTCCCGCCCTTCCCTCTTCCCTTCCCTCTCCCGCCCTTCCCTCTTCCCTTCCCTCTCCTGCTCCCTTACCCTCCTGCCTGCCCGGCGCGGCCGCATGCGGCATCTCCTCCCCTTACACACCGTCTCCTGCGTGCAGATAATGCCTGGCTTGGCGCGCTATGGCGAGGTGGCAGTGGGGGCGATCAGGCACGCGCTGCGCTTCACAGCAGCGGCAACACAGAAGAAGTACGTGTGGCCCGCACGCCACTACGCCAGTGACTCCACCAACCCCAACCTGCCCCCCATGGGCCTCCGCCTGCGCCTCAAAAAGGTCTCTCCTGACTTGCTCACCTCTCACTCACTCCGTCCAACCGCCCCCCACCTCCCCCCCCCCCCCCCCCCCCCCCCCCCCTTCCCCCCCCCCCACCCCCCCTTCCCCCCCCTTCCCGCTGCCTTTTTCTGCCCCTTGTTCTAGTCCGTCTTGTCTTGCTTGCGCGTCTTCTTATGCAGCTCCCTGCACACAACACATGTGTGTGTGTGTGAAGTGCATGCAGGCGCGTGTGCACACACGCTCTCATTCACTCATGCATGGTCGTATGCATGCATGGGCGTGTTACCTTGTGAGCGTGGGCAGGTCACGCACATACATGCCCGTGCATGCATGTGCACATGTCCCACTCGACCATCCCCTCTCACCGTCATCAGCATACCGATGGTCAACCATTCCAAGGGTTCCCCAGCTACAAAATCCTAATCATTCAACCCCAACCTCAACCCCTCTTCCAACCCTTCCTTTCCCTCGCACCTCCCCCTCCTCCCAACCAGACTTTCAACAGCAGACCCGAGTGATCCTACAAGCCCTCAAGCCGTATGGCATGATGCTGGCGGTCAACGGTGCTCCCTGGTACATCTCTTGAGTTGACTCAAAAGCCACCTTCCTTCCCCCAACCCCTCCTCCCCCCCCCTCCTCTCCCACCAGAGTTTCAACATCTCCGGTTTCCCGAAGCAGACGCAGGTGATCCTACAAGCCCTCAAGACGTACGGCATGATGCTGGCAGACAACGGTGCTCCCTGGTACATCTCCGGTGCGCCGCACGCCAAGTGGGATAACGATGACCTGCACTCGCTGCACCAAGTGCTGGGGAAGAATTATGAGGTGGTTGACATGAGCTCCGTGCCCAAGTACTAGTAGCGGGCTGCTGCTGCCACACTGCGTGGGACAGCAACGGTCTAGACTTGCTGCTTGCACCCCGTTGTGGGGAAGAACTATGATACGAGGCTGTTCACTTGAGGTCTGTGCCCAAGTGCTAATTTTGATTGTTGTTGTGCTGAGTTGATACAGTAGCTGCTATGGGAGTGGTGGGTGTCTGCGGAGGGGTGGAGGTGGATGGGTGTGGGTGGGGGGTGCGGTGGGCAAGGCATGAGGTGCATGGCCAGGTGCAGTGAGTGGTGCTCTGTGTAGTGGGTTGTAGATGTGGCAGGATCAGCAGTAGAGGTTGCACTAGTGTCTGCAGGAGGAGGAAGAGCAACAAACATGTTTACCGGTATGAAAACGTTTTTGGTGAGGTTTGGTTTATTGGGTGGGTGGGTGTAGAAGTTTGTTGAGATATGGCAATGTAGTCAAACAAGGAATGGAAGCGGCATTTATTGTTGAACTACCAACGGTATGTGGAGTAATTGTAACAGTTAGGTGCCTGTTAGTGCTGCGGAACGTATTCTGATCTGTATTCTAGACTAGTGGTTTTATGTGAGTGACGCGAAAACATATATATATCGACAGCTAGAGTGATGTGAGTTGCCGTAAAAAACGAGGTCACGTGGTACTAGTTGATGACGCACTGGCTTTCTACTTGTTGGAAATATACAATCATAAGAAAGTTATATGCTGTTAGATTTTAGTGTAGTCCCCTTTATGAGCATCTAGGCCCTACAATAATTGTACAATTATTGTAGGGGTTGATTGGCTGGAGTCTAGAGCTCTTGGGGGTAGAATTATTGGTACTCCTTTATTGGAGTTGCCATTATTGGTGGTACAATTATTGGTGTGGATGGGTGGACTTTGGAGGGTTAGCTGCAAGGATAAATGCCCTGCTCTGTGATGCTATTATCAATTCCATTTCTCTTATGATGCTTCCAACCAATTCAGGGCAAGTCTGCAAGCCTTGTTTTACTACAATCTAGCTTTCGCAACGCCGGCATCATGCCTTTCTAGCATGGTATCAGAGCTACTCTAGGGGGCATGCTGCCAAAATTTGGACAAAAACCTATTACAATCCATATTGGGCAGGCACATTAGCATATTGGCATAGCAAGAGGCAACGATTGGATCAAGGAAATGACGCAGTTCGACGATGAAGTCGATGCTGGATTTGTGGCGATTGAAGAAGCAATCTTGGCTCAACATGAGCACCTGAAGAACATGATTGCAAGGGCGCCGCCAACATTTCAAGCGTCATTGAAAGCGAAGTTCAACATGCAAATTGGTGAAGGGAGTGGCAAATTGGATAATGTGGGCGTGGAAGGTGTAGGAGTTGAATCCTACGCTACTGGTGCTCCCCCACTACGACGTCTTGCCACTAACGGTCATCCCATTAAAGCCCCTGTAATGGGCAGATCTCACCTTCTTGGCAAAAGCATCATACCTCCTCGCACGTCTCGTCCACTAATGGAAGTGGATCCTGCACGGAGCATGGAGCGCACGAGACACAGGATGCGACGTGATGGAGGCGATATGGTGGAACATCACTCCTACGGGACCAAGAATGCTGCAACTTCAAGCGGAGGGCAGCACGCGACAAAGGGAGAGAAAATGAATGGCAATGATGGAAAGGGCGGACGCTCAACTCTCATGTGCTGGTTTTGCAAGCAACTGGGGCATCCATTCTACAAGTGTCACACGGCACCATCAGGATGGTCACCACCGGGGTGGGAACAACACAACAGAAGGAGGACCAACCGACGTACCAGCGACAGCCGTTCGATCTCTCCTCGAAATGGTGACAGCCCTAAACGTGACAACAATGATATAAAGCAACAAGGGGCAGCCGGGAAAGACAACAACCGTACAATTACATGTATTGCAACGGTTCGATCGTCACAGACGACCTTACCAAGCGTTGGAGGTTCTCTATGGTTGCTGGACAGCGGGTGCAGCCAGCACATGACTCCGGATAAACATTGGTTTGAGGATTTGAAGGAGTTGGACCAACATGTGCACGTGGAGCTTGCTAATGGAAGCACTTTGACCAGCTCAATGGTGGGCACAATCAGAGCACAAGCACCTGATGGGACAACGGTGCGTTACACCGAAGTGCTCTACGTACCCGGATTGAAGTCCAACCTCCTCTCTTACTGTCAGCTGTTGAAAAAGGGAGCTCGGATCAACGCAAATGCTAATAGCGATGCCGAGATCACCATGCCTGTTGAAGATGGGCATGTACGGATTGGACTTGGCAAGGATGTGCATGGAGTGCTCATGGTGGAGTATGAGCCAGCACTTACCTGTGCCCATGGACCTGGACATACTGATGGAGATGCACCATCAAATGCGCATAGCCATGGAGGGTTGAACGGTCAATCCGCTACTGCATCTGTCACCTACCGTATCGCGCACATGGCTCGCGTCGTGGGGAACATGACACGTGATGGCGACAAGGGCACTCATTTACCGGGCACGTTTGATGATATGCTGCTGGACGCTGAGACATTGCTTGGACACCAGCAGCACATGAATGAAGTCTCACCCCACGTTGCGGTGTGGACTTCAGGGGGAGAAGGAAATGACGATGGACCAAATTTTGGAAAACATGATCTACCTGGACATGATGCAACTGCTACGGTCGATGCAGCCAAGGAAAAGGGAGGTGCTGCAGCGAATGACTTACGTGCAGCAAATGTCTTTGTACCAGCTGAGGATGGAAGTGACACTGGAAGCAAGGTGGGATATGCAACTACAGGTGTGCGCATGGCTGACTTGACAATGCAAGGAAACACAAGACATAGTCACGGATCAGCCCACACTCGCCAACGACGGACATGACATCACCTGCAGCCGCGTGTGCGGCCTCCAACCGATTCCCCATGGCGCAACTTTTGCAAATGGTCAACAAGTCAATGGTGCTGGTGCAACACTCACATGTGCAGACTTCTCGCGATGTGCTGGACAGCAAGGCGTTACGTAACTCCTCACACCTCACTCGTGTGTTTGCAACCATGTGCAAGCTCGCATACACACGAGTGAGAGGGGGAGTGGGGTGTGGGAGCGTCACGCGCTGGATTGGGAGGCATAAGTGCGTTTACAACTTCATGGCTACAAGGAAGTTATGGATCGTTCAGCATGAGTCAACCTACTGTTACAAGACAAGACAAGGGGTCACTGCTGCTGCCGTTGTGTGCCAGCAGCTGCTGCTGCAATCGGTCTGCACTTGCTGAAATGCTCCAGCAGCTGCTGTCCGCAGGCAGCCGTTGTTTCACGTGTACCTGCTGGTTTCAGGGGGAGTAACCAGACAAAATAAGTAAAGTTATCAACAAGATTGGCTTCATACAGTGGAGAAAGGAGAAGGGCAGACAGAAAGCTACATTTGGTACGAGGTGTTGAAGCTGCAAGAGATGCAGCCCACGGTCTGCAGCTTACCATGGGGCAGCTGCTGCTGGTCGTGCAGGACAACGGCCGCTGTTGCTGCAGGCCACCAGGCGCTGGAGCAGCCCGACAGATGCAGCACACCAGGCGCAGCCAGCCAGGTGCAGCCAGACAGGTGCAGCCAGACAGGTGTTGCTGCAGACCGCCAGCTGCTGTTGCAGTCCGCCAGGTAGTGCTGCTGGTGTGAGGGGGAGCATACCAAGAAAACACAGGTTAAGGCATTCGTAGCTTCATCTAGGAGGAGAGTGCAAGGTAAACAGAATGAGAAGGCAAGCTACTACTGCAGGGCTAGGAGATCCCGAGGTTCCTCACCGTCAGGCGCTGCTGCAAGATGACAGGTGAAGCTGCAGGCGGTCATGTGCTGCTGCAGGCCGCCAAGTGCTGCTGATCCTGCCGGGTAATACTGCTGCCGAGCACCAGCAGCTGCCGCCGAGCGCCACCATAGCTTCTGCGGAGCTCCAAGTGCTGCTGGTGGTGCTCGGGGAAGGCCAGGTGCTGCCGTTGTTGCTTACCGATTACTGTCACCGGGCATGTGCTAGTGCAGGGCGTCAGGAGCTGCTACTGCTTCAGTGCGCCACCAGCCACTGCTACCGTCAGTCACCAGCTCCTCCGCCGTTGCTGCCAAGAATGTGTGGTGGGTGCAGCCGCCAGGTGCTGTTGCAGACCGGCAAGTGCTGCTACAGGACGGCAGGTGCCGCTGCAGCTAAAGCAATCCGTTGCTGCAGATGGTGATAAAAGAAACACATGGGAGAAGAAGCGTTTAATCTGGAGAAGGTGGTCAAGCAGTGTAAGGAGACTACAGTGGAAGGGCTACATACTTCTTCAAAGGAAGAAGATTAAGAAGAATGAATGAAAGGTTACTCACCTAGTCATGACGGAGAAGGCACGCCGCTGCTGCCGTGCTGCCGCCACTCGCAAGGCGCCAAGTCGTCCGCAGTGGCAGGGGGAGCGAGCATGCATTGCTGCTGGTCACTCAGAAGATGATGGTGCAGCCGTCCGTCAGGCGTTGAAACAGTGCGCCACTGGGAGGTGCAGTCATGCGTAAAGCAAACCGCCATTGCTGCAGGTGAGACTGCCGTCGCCAGCTGCCACTGCAGGAATGGGTGTCGCCAGGAGAAGCAGAAGCACGACAGGAGAAGCAGCCGCGCGACAGAAGCAGACGCGCAACAGGAGACGCAGACGCGCGACAGGAAAAACAGCCACGCAATCAGTAGTCAGTTGCTACAGAGCATCGTCATGCCATGCTGCAGCAGACGCACACTATGCTGCAGAAGTTACGCGACTGAAGGAAATTTCCCGTCACCAGCTGCAGGCGAATCAGGAGCTGAACAAGCCACGCGGCAGAAGTCACGCAGTTGCTGCAGGAGGATTGCGAATAGCAGCGCGCAATGCTGCCTAGGTCGCGCGACATGCAGCAGCACGCCACGCGCCAGCGTCGCACGCTGCTTCTAAGGACATGTGCCAGAGACGGTCGCGCGCCTGGGGGCTGAACAGCGCACACCGGCAATGCGCGTTCGTCTACTGTTGCAAGCTACGCCGACAGCTCGCCGTGAATGCGCAAAACCGTCGTCAGGAGCCATGGCCATAGTAAACGCTGCTCAGAATACCAGATCTGAAAGGTGCTGGAAGGAAGGAGATTGACAGGCGGGGTTGGACAGCTAAGGAGAGGGTTCGGTTGGTTGGAAGGAGCAGAAACAGAATGGTACAGTGCAACCCTCGTACCTGAACGTGGGGTACGGAAATGACCGCAGCTGCTAAAGAGCCCAACTCACCGACGCGTTTTCCAACGGAAACCCTAGGCATGTTTTCGTCGCAATCAACGCACTTCAAAATCGGCACCGCGATCAACGCCGCAGTCATCCGCAATTACCTCCGTCACAAAAGCACAACCTCATCCACACCGTCATCTACAAACCAACTCACTAAAATCGACAGCATGGGGGAGTGTTGGAAATATACAATCATAAGAAAATTATATGCTGTTAGATTTTAGTGTAGTCCCCTCTATAAGCATCTAGGCCCTACAATAATTGTACAATTATTGTAGGGGCTGATTGGCTGGAGTCTAGAGCTCCTGGGGGTAGAATTATTGGTACTCCTTTATTGGAGTTGCCATTATTGGTGGTACAATTATTGATGTGGATGGGTGGACTTTGGAGGGTTAGCTGCAAGGATAAATGCCCTGCTCTGTGATGCTATTATCAATTCCATTTCTCTTATGATACTTCCAACCATTTCAGGGTAAGTCTGCAAGCCTTGTTTTACTACAATCTAGCTTCCGCAACGCCGGCATCATGCCTTTCTAGCACTACTTACGTGAGAGCCTAGGCCGGTCATGAGTACTACTAGGCAATCAAGATATGTGTGATGCAAACAGCGGGCCAACCTGAGCAGGCCCTTAGATATCAGCGTAAAACACGCTGATTAGGCTGATTTTGTAGCTGTGATTTTCGTTTTCCCTGAAATTTCAGTATATTCTTTATGTTTGCACTGATTTTCCAGTTTAAAGTGTAGGACTACCCTGACGAATTTGTGTGTAGGTGTCAGGCCCTCTGATTGGTTTCAGGGTATGCTGATGGATCAGCGTGCCCTGCCCAAATTAGTGACCAAATCAGCGTTGGGGGTCAAGTTTATGCTGATTTTGTCAGGGTAAAATTTCATTGCTTAATGATTCATTAGTCAGAAAAACTAATTTGCCCTGGGCAGGGCTAGTAGCGTAGCTGTCTAAGGTTTCGGCCTGTAACCAGAAAGGTCCCGGGTTCGAAGCCCGTATGTTACAGGTCCATTTGTATGTGGCAATGATTCTGGGCTTAAAACCCGCGGGCCAAGAAGTTCAACCTTAAGAAGGTTGGTTGGGGCCACTATTGCTATTGGCCCGCGAAGGGACAATGGTCGAAAAGTTGGGAAGATGTTCGCGTACATGACCAATCTCGCCAAAGTAACCAGATAGAGAATGCGACCGGAACACCCCCACACATCAATCGCACAAACGCTCGCGCGACATATCACAACCACCCAACCCACACCCCGAAGTGTCACGCCTCATCGGCACATTGATAAGGATCCTACTAAGCCGCGCGCAGGTATCTTTGCAGCGTTGCTCTTTGAAAAAGGACTGAACCACCGTCTCGTAACATTGCAACGACCCGTGACTCCTCGGCCAACAGATTTCAAAATCCCGTGACAAAGAAGAAGATAGAGATACTTTCCGCGTCTAAACCTATATGTCCGGAATCCGTAGAAGAAGCCAGTAACACCGCGGATAGGGTTTGCTCGTGCCGCCCTGTCCTTACGGCGCGGTTCCCCTTTCCTCCCGCCCCTTCCTCACTCCACGATTCCTTATCCCGCGCCCGTCGCGCTGCTATTTCTTCCCGTCCATTCCCCCTCTCCCCACACACCAATCCTCCCTTCACCACGGCGTTGCTCTTCACTTCCCCCTCACGTCGCCTTCATTTCCCCCTCCCGTCGCCTTCATTTACCCCTCCCGTCGCCTTCATTTCCCCCTCCCGTCGCCTTCATTTCCCCCTCCCGTCGCCTTCATTTCCCCCTCCCGTCGCCTTCATTTCCCCCTCCCATCGCCTTCATTTCCCCCTCCCGTCGTCTTCATTTCCCCCTCCCGCCGCCTTCATTTCCCCCTCACGTCGCCTTCATTTCCCCCTCGCCTTCATTTCCCCCTCCCGTCTCCTTCATTTCCCCCTCCCGTCGCCTTCATTTCCCCCTCCCGCCGCCTTCATTTCCCCCTCCCGTCGTCTTCATTTTCCCCTCCCGTCCCATTCATTTCCCCCCTCCCGCCGCCTTCATTCCCCCCTCCCGTCTCCTTCATTTCCCCCTCCCGTCGCCTTCATTTCCCCCTCCCGTCGCGTTCACTTCCCCCTCGCCTTCGCCGTCACTCCCCTCACCCATCGCCCTCGCTCCCCCCTCCCATCGCCCTCTCTTCCCCGGCAATCCCTGTTTCGCCTGCTCCTTCTCTTCCTCCCGGCTCACTCTGTCTGTCTCCCCTGCTCAATCTCTTCCCCCTCTCCCCCCAATCCCCCACCCACTCTTCCTCAAGTTGTTGGTTCACTTGCGCAAACGCCTCCTGCACAAATGCTCCCCTTTTTCCCACTCCCACCATCCCCTTTCCACCCCCGCCTCCCCCCCTTCTCCTGCAGTCGCTGGTTCACTTGCGCCATCTGTGAGTGTGAGGCAGCAGCATCACCACCGCCTCGCTGCTCCTCGCCTTCCCCCGCCTGCTCTCCGCCAACCTCGCATGGACTGCCCTCTCCCACCACCCGTCCACCCCTCCCTCACCGCCCTGCACCTCTCCCACTGCCCCCTCCTTACCTCCGCCTCATCTCCTTCCTCTTCTCACTCCTCCTCCTCTTCCTCCTCCACCCTCACTCATCTCGTTACCTCTGGTGCCTCAATCGCTCCTCCCTCCTCCCTCTTCCCTCCTCACCTCCTAGCCTCCCTCACTCACCTCAACCTCTCCCACTCGCGCGGCGCCACACTTCTTCCTCCTCCGCACCGCACCACCCTTCACCGCACTCCACTCACCTCTCCTCCCGCCCTTTGCGAGACCACCAGGCAGACGATAAGACTGTCAGGGGCCTGGCATTTGGCGGGGCCTCGTCCGCTCCCCCTCCTCCCCCCCCCCCCCCCCCACTCCCCTCTCCTCCCTCTGTTTGCTCCCAACCAGGTCCGCGAGGATGCTGACAGGGGCCTGCCAGTCTGCTGTGCATACTCTGCTCATGTCAACCCCCTGTGTATTGGCCGGCTATTTATCTTGCATGTGCATAACACATCAAGCAGGGACTTTCTTAGTCCCTGCGAGGTGGGTCGAGGCGCGGACAGGGCTGAGTCACAGCTATAGACTAATATTTACACTTCCTCTCCACGAGTCGCGGCGGTGTACGGCGACGAGGACGGGAATGAGCAACGATACTGAAGAGGTGAGGGTTTAGGAATATATGCAGGGGTGGCGGCTTGGGGAGATGAGCAGTGAGTGGGCGCTGCAGAATGACAAGGGAGTGGGCGCGGGGGAGTGTGGTAACAGTGGGCGCGGGGGAGTGTGGTAACAGTGGGCGCGGGGGAGTGTGGTAACAGTGGGCGCGGGGGAGTGTGGTAACAGATGCAGGGTGAGGTATGTGGCCAAGTGTACACCTTGCATGGCACTCCCGTAGCTCGCCCACAGACTTTGCTCCCTATGTCCCTTGTTCACCCATACCCCTTGCTCCCTCAGTTTGCACTCGAACACACCACTGTCGCTCTGTCCTTTGCTCTCTTACACACCCCTGCGCACTCTCTTCCCCCTGCGCACTCTCTTCCCCCCTGCGCACTCTCTTCCCCCCTGCGCACTCTCTTCCCCCCTGCGCACTCTCTTCCCCCCTGCGCACTCTCTTCCCCCCTGCGCACTCTCTTCCCCCCTGCGCACTCTCTTCCCCCCTGCGCACTCTCTTCCCCCCTGCGCACTCTCTTCCCCCCTGCGCACTCTCTTCCCCCCTGCGCACTCTCTTCCCCCTGCGCACTCTCTTCCCCCCTGCGCACTCTCTTCCCCCCTGCGCACTCTCTTCCCCCCTGCGCACTCTCTTCCCCCCTGCGCACTCTCTTCCCCCCTGCGCACTCTCTTCCCCCCTGCGCACTCTCTTCCCCCCTGCGCACTCTCTTCCCCCCTGCGCACTCTCTTCCCCCCTGCGCACTCTCTTCCCCCCTGCGCACTCTCTTCCCCCCTGCGCACTCTCTTCCCCCCTGCGCACTCTCTTCCCCCCGCACTCTCTTCCCCCCTGCGCACTCTCTTCCCCCTGCGCACTCTCTTCCCCCCTGCGCACTCTCTTCCCCCTGCGCACTCTCTTCCCCCCTGCGCACTCTCTTCCCCCCTGCGCACTCTCTTCCCCCCTGCGCACTCTCTTCCCCCCTGCGCACTCTCTTCCCCCCTGCGCACTCTCTTCCCCCCTGCGCACTCTCTTCCCCCCTGCGCACTCTCTTCCCCCCTGCGCACTCTCTTCCCCCCTGCGCACTCTCTTCCCCCCTGCGCACTCTCTTCCCCCCTGCGCACTCTCTTCCCCCCTGCGCACTCTCTTCCCCCCTGCGCACTCTCTTCCCCCCTGCGCACTCTCTTCCCCCCTGCGCACTCTCTTCCCCCCTGCGCACTCTCTTCCCCCTGCTCACTCTCTTTCCCCCTGCTCACTCTCTTACCCCCTGCCATGCCTCTCCCCTCCCACTTCCATTTCCATCCCCTCACGCTTCCATTTCCCGCCCCTCGCTCTACCATTCTCTGGCACTCACGCTATTCTCACCCTTGTTCCCCCTGCTCGGTCTATTTCCCCCTTTGCTCGCCCCTATATTCGCCTGCTCACTCCCTTGCCCCTAGCGAACTCTCTTCCCCTATGCTCACTTCCTTTTCCCCTGTACTCACCCATCTTTCACCCCTCTTTACTCTCTATTCCCCTTTCGTTCAACCCATTTCCACCCTCAAGTTCTCTCATTTCCCCTGTTCACCCCCCTCAGCCCTTGCTCACTTGCTTTCCCCTTTGCTCACCCCCTTCTCCACCCTGCTCACTCTCTTTCCCCCTTTGCTCACCCCTCTGCCTTGCTCACTCCTCTGCCTTGCTCACTCCTCCCATACATGCCCTTCTTTACCTCCACCTTCATTCCTTGCTTAATCTGCCATATCCCCTCTTCGCTCCCTGTTCCATCACAGAACCATGCTTGTACATGTGCCCAGCACCATGGGTCGTGGCCTGACAGGAGTGGGTTGAAATGTTACCACCTCTTTAACTTTGTGCATGTGCCTATAATCCACTCTTGGCAACTACTATGGAACTATATGTTGCTTTGTAGCACTTGTGATGGTCATGTTCATTTCTGCCACAAATAACAAAGTTCCATTATGAGTAACATCCACATCAACACATGGCATAGCTATTTGTCATTCAGTACCACTGTCATCAAACAAAAACACATCACAACTGGATGCATGGCTGACCTGCACAAACACGAACCACAAACTCGAATGTGTCAAAGTTGAAGCATCGGGGAAGGATACGAAACAACGGAGGGAGAAAATGAGCGAAGGGGACAGGCATGAAGGGCGGAAGGGGGACAGGCATGAAAGGCACTGAGGCAGAGAATTGGGGAGATGAAGGAAGGAAGGGGGTAGGAGAGGACGACGTTGGGTGGAAGGGTGGAAGGGAGGGAGGAAGGAAGAAAGGGAGGATGGGAGGATGAGAGGAAGGGAGGATGAAGGGCGGATGATAGAAAATGGCGGATGAGAGGAAGGGAAGATAAGCGAGGAAAGGGGGATGAGAGGAAGGCTGGACGGGAGAAAGTGAAGGAGGAAAAGACGGAGAAAGATGGGATGGACGGAGGAGGAAAAAGTGTGGCAAGGTTCAAGGGGGAAGGTAAAAGGGTGGACCGGAAAAGCAGGGTTGGAGTGAGGAAGGGAGTAGGAGGGTGGGAGATGGGGGACCGGATCAAGGGAGGATGAGGAGATGGGAGAATGGCAGGAAGGGAGGACGGGAGGAAGGGAGGGAAGGAGACTGTGGGGGAACAAAGGAACGGAGTAAGGGAGGAGGGCAGGAGGTAAAAGTGTGGAAGGGTATAAGGGTGGAACGGGTGGGAGTGGGGGATTTCTGCACCCTCTCTCCCTACCCCCTGCCTCCCCTGCCCCGACTCCCCCGCTCCCCTGCAGGCCCCCCTGCAGTACTGCGCTCCTTGCTGCCCGCCTGCACGCGCTTCCCCGGCTGTGCGCCAAGCACTCTGCTCCAAAGCCGCAGCACCACCTGCCATGCGTGCGGAGAGGAGGAGGTCGGTGCAAGAGAGAGGAGGAGGTCGGTGCAAGAGAGAGATGGTGGGCGGGGAAGGGAGGATGACATGGGTAGCATGGGGAAGGGAGGATGACAGGGGTAGCATGGGGAAGGGAGGATGACATGGGTAGCACGGGGAAGGGAGGATGACAGGGGTAGCATGGGGAAGGGAGGATGACAGGGGTAGCATGGGGAAGGGAGGATGACAGGGGTAGCATGGGGAAGGGAGGATGACATGGGTAGCATGGGGAAGGGAGGATGACATGGGTAGCATGGGGAAGGGAGGATGACATGGGTAGCATGGGGAAGGGAGGATGACATGGGTAGCATGGGGAAAAGAGGATGACATGGGTAGCATTGGGAAGGGAGGACGACATGGGTAGCATGGGGAAGGGAGGATGACATGGGTAGCATGGGGAAGGGAGGATGACATGGGTAGCATGGGGAAGGGAGGATGTCATGGGTAGCATGGGGAAGGGAGGATGGCATGGGTAGCATGGGGAAGGGAGGATGACATGGGTAGCATGGCGAAGGGAGGATGACATGGTTCGCACGGGGAAGGGAGGATGACATGGGTAGCATGGGGAAGGGAGGATGACATGGGTAGCATTGGGAAGGGAGGACGACATGGGTAGCATGGGGAAGGGAGGATGGCATGGGTAGCATGGGGAAGGGAGGATGACATGGGTAGCATGGGGAAGGGAGGATGACATGGTTCGCACGGGGAAGCGTGTGTGGAGCGGAGGGCATGCATGGTCAAAAGGAAGGTGTGGATCTGGGGGAGTGGCGGGAAGGACGGGTGGGAGTGGGGGATTGAACGGGGGAAGAGAGGCGAGAGAGGCGGAGGGTGAGAGAGGCGGAGGTAGAGAGAGGCGGAGGGCGAGAGAGGCGGAGGGCGAGAAAGGCGGAGGGTGAGAGAGGCGGAGGTAGCGGTGAGGCGGAGGTGAGGCCGCGGAGGGTGAGAGAGGCGGAGGGTTGGACGCGGGAAAGTGGGGGGGGAAGTGGGGGATTGAACGGGGGGAAGTGGGGAAAAAGATGGGTGGGAGTGGGGAATGGATGAGTGGGAGTGCGGGAATGGACAGGGGAAAGTGGGGGTAATGGCGAGGGGGAGTGGGCGAAAGGACGAGGGGGAGTGGGAGAAAGGGCGGGTGGGAGTGGCCGAAAGGGAGGGTTGGCGTAGGGGAAAGGGGGAAGATCCCCATAATAGGGTGAGCGTGAGAAATCGTGTGGAAATGGATGTCAAACTATATGTGCTGCATAGTGTCTAGGCTGTAGTGGGGTACAACCCAATTAGGGTTTACTACTTGTACTCCTGCATCCTGCTAGTTCACTCATTCCTGCTGCTAGATTCTAACATGGTATCAGAGCACTAAGGTCCGTAGGACCGTTTTTTTTTTTCGGGCCCACCTACCGCTGCGGTTACCGCGCTACCCCACGTACCTGCCTGCCTTGCCTTGCCTTGTGACGTGCTGCACTATGCGCGCCGTCCAGCAGCCCTAGCGCTGCCTCCTGCTGCCCTAGGCCAGCGCGCTGCCCCTAGAGGCCCGTAAGGCCCGCGCGCCGCCCCTACACGCCCTTCAGGCCCGCGAACAGCCCCTGCAGACCGTTAGGCCCCTTGCTGCCGCGCGCTGCCCGCACCGAGCCGCGCGCAGCCCGCTGCTGCCGCGCGCTGCCCGCACCGAGCCCGCGCAGCCCGCACCGAGCCGCGCGCAGCCCGCACCGAGCCCACGCAGCCCGCGCCGAGCCGCGCGCAGCCCGCTGCAGCCGCGCGCAGCCCGCACCGAGCCGCGCGCAGCCCGCTGCAGCCGCGCGCAGCCCGCACCGAGCCGCGCGCAGCCCGCTGCTGCCGCGCGCAGCCCGCGCCGAGCCCACGCAGCCCGCGCCGAGCCCACGCAGCCCGCGTCGAGCCGCGCGCGGCCTGCTACGGCCTCGCGAGGCCCGCGCGCGGCCCGCAGCAGCCCGCGCCGAGCCGCGCGCGGCCTGCTACTGCCTCGCGCGGCCCGCGCGCGGCCCGCAACAGCCCGCGCCGAGCCGCGCGCGGCCTGAGGCGCGCGGCCCGCAGCAGCCCGCACCGAGCCGCGCGCGGCCCGCTACTGCCTAGCGCGGCCGCGCGCGGCCTACACCAGCTCAGCGTGCTGTCAGCGCAGCCCGCGCCGAGCCGCGCGCGGCCCTCTGCCTCGGCCCCGACCTGCCGCTGATGCGGCCCCACCCTGCAGCTGCCACGGCCCCGACCTGCCGCTGATGCGGCCCCTGTCAAACATTATATATGTTGGTTGTTGTTAGGCTACAGTGGGTTAGACTATATGGGGTACACATCTCTAGGGTTTCCCATTTGTACTGCCTTCCTTGTTAGTTCAGCCCATTCCAGTCCGTTGATTCTGACATGGTATCAGAGCAGGTCCGTCACTAGGACCGCTTTAGGGCCCACCGTTACCCTACCTACCTACCTACTACCGTGCGCCCTCGTGCGCCCCCGTGCGCCCTCGTGCGCCCCCCGTGCGCCCTCGTGCGCCCTCGTGCGCCCTCGTGCGCCTTTCTCTCCTTGTGCGCCTTCGTGCGCCCTCGTGCGCCCTCGAGCCGCCGCTGCAGGCCCGTCAGCCCCCCGAGCCGCCGCTACAGGCCCGTCAGGCCCCCGAGCCGCCGCTGCAGACCCGTCAGGCCCGAGAGCCGCCCCTGCAGACTCTCGCCGCCCGTCGCGTCGCCCTCCCCGCGACGTCGTCACCTGCCAGCGGCGTCGTCGCCTCCCCGCGGCGTCGCGCCTCCCTGCGACGTCGTCGCCTGCCCGCGGCGTCGCCGCCTGCCCGCGGCGTCGTCGCCTGCCCGCGTCGAAGCCGCCTGCCCGCGGCGTCGACCCCTACCCGCGGCGCCGTTGCTTTCCCGCGGAGTCGTCGCCTGCCCGCGGCGTCGCCTAACCCTAATCCGCCCCGCGACGTCGACCCCTGCCCGCGACACCGTCGCCTGCCCGCGGAGGCGTTACCTAACCCTAATCCGCTGCCCGCGCACTGCCCGCGAGCTGCCCGCCGCTGCAGGCTCTCGCCGCCCGCCGCGTCGCCCTCCCCGTGGCGTCGTCGCCTCCCTACGGCCCGTCGTGGCCCCTTACCCGCCCGTCGCGGCCCTCCCAGCCGCCGTCGCGATCCCTCCGCCGCCCCTTCGCGGCTTCTACCTCGTCTGCAGCAGCTGCCGCCGCCGAACCTGCAGCAGCAGCCGCCGCCGACCTGCAGCAGCTGCCGCCGCCGAGCCTGTAGCAGCAGCCGCCGCCGATCTGCAGCAGCTGCCGCCGCTGACCCTGCAGCAGCAGCCGCCACTCGACCTGCAGCAGCTGCCGCCGCCGAGCCTACAGCAGCGGCCGCCGCCGACCCTGCAGCAGCTGCCGCGGAGCTCCCTGCTGCGACCTGGCCCCGTCCCGCTGGTGCAGCGGCCCCGCTGTCGCCACTGTCTTGCGCCCGCCGCACCGACCACTGGTGAGCTTTGCCCTGCCAGCACTGCTACCGTTACAGCTGCCGCTACTGCTGCTGCTCCTGACGTGGCCAGATGGAGCTCCAGCAGGATCGTGATTGGTACGCCAGTTGGGGCTGTCGGGGTGGCAGTCGTGGTAGTCGCTCTGACGTGCGTAGTTCGGGAGCCTCTGGTAGTGGACAGGTGCAGCAGCCGTGCCCTCCTACGGTCCAGCAGGCTCGTGAGTGGTACGCCAGTTGGGGCTGTCGGGGTGGCAGTCGTGGTAGTCGCCCTGACGTGCGTAGTTCGGGAGCCTCTGGTAGTGGACAGGTGCAGCAGCCGTGCCCTCCTACGGTCCAGCAGGCTCGTGAGTGGTACGCCAGTTGGGGCTGTCGGGGTGGCAGTCGTGGTAGTCGCTCTGACGTGCGTAGTTCGGGAGCCTCTGGTAGTGGACAGGTGCAGCAGCCGTGCCCTCCTACGGTCCAGCAGGCTCGTGAGTGGTACGCCAGTTGGGGCTATCGGGGTGGCCGTCGTGGTAGTCGCTCTGGCGTGCGTCGTTCGGGAGCTTCTAGTAGCGGACAGGTGCAGCTGCCGTGTCTTGTGAGTGACGCTGCCGCTCTAGGTGCTAGTACGTCTGTCGCTACAGGTGCTCACGTGTCTGCTACCCCAGGTGATGGTGAGGTTGCCGCTCTTGGTGCTAGTGCGTCTGTGCCCCCTGGTACTGAGTCGACTGCCGCACTGCACACCTTCACACTGGACTCAGGTGCTTCTCGCTCCTTCTTTCGTGACCGCACTGTCCTTGAGCCACTCGCTCGGCCAGTTGCTGTCTCCCTTGCTGACCCCTCTGGGGGTCCGGTCATTGCGACCTCCTCCACTGTCCTTCCTTGTCCTGCGGTCCCGTCCGGCACGCTGTCAGGTCTCTACCTCCCCTCGTTCTCTACGAACTTGGTGGCAGGCCGAGAGCTCCAGGACGGGGGTGTTCATCAGTTCACCCCTGCCTACGAGCGCGTGACACACTGCACGTGTGCTCGGACGGGTCGCCACCTGGCTACCTTCACTCGAGAGCCGGGGTCCGACCTTTACACACTGACCACTGAGTCCCCTCAGGTAGCTGCGTCTGCGTCAGCGTCAGGTCAGCTGTCCGCCCCCTGCTCGTGTCGCTCTCTGGCGCATGAGACTATCCTCTGGCACCACCGCCTTGGTCACCCGTCTGTGCAGCGCCTTCGGGCCATGCACCAACGGGACCTTGTTGCTGGGCTTCCCAGGGTACTCCCTCCCCTTCCAGACTCGCCTGCTCCTCCCTGTATTCCCTGTGTCGAGGGGCGGCAGCGCGCCGCTCCTCATTCCTCCTCCTTTCCCCCGACGACTGCTCCCTTGCAGACGCTCCACATGGACGTGTGGGGCCCAGCCCGCGTCCGTGGTCAGGGTCAGGAGAGGTACTTCCTGATTGTTGTTGACGACTTCTCGCGCTACACCACGGTCTTCCCCTTGCGCGCCAAGGGTGACGTCCCTGATGTCTTGATCCCTTGGATCCGCAGATCTCGTCTCCAGCTCAGTGAGCGTTTCCGCTCCGACTTCCCTGTCCTGCGTCTGCACTCTGACAGAGGTGGGGAGTTTTCCTCTGGTCTCTTGGAGGCCTTCTGTCAGCAGGAGGGCATTGAGCAGTCGTACACGCTTCCGGCCTCTCCACAGTAGAATGGGGTTGCTGAGCGCCGCATTTGTCTGGTCATGGAGGTCGCTCGTACCTCCTTGGTTCATGCGGCTGCCCCCCATTTTCTGTGGCCGTTTGCAGTCCGATACGCTGCGCATCAGCTCAACCTCTGGCCCCGTGTCTCCTTGCCCGAGACTTCTCCGACACTGCGTTGGACGGGAGAGGCTGGCGATGCGTCGCGTTTTCGGGTCTGGGGATCCCGAGCTTTTGTCCGCGACACGTCCGCGGACAAGCTCTCCCGTCGCGCTGTCCCCTGCGTCTTCCTTGGCTTTGTTCCGGACGCCCCGGGCTGGCAGTTCTACCACCCCACTTCGCGTCGTGTCCTGGCCTCTCAGGACGTCACTTTTGACGAGTCCGTCCCCTACTACCGCCTCTTCCCCTACCGCACTGCCCCGCTCCCCCCCCCGCCTCTCTTCCTCGCTCCAGGTGCTGAGGTACCAGACCCCCTCCCCCCTCAGGGTGCCGCTCCCTCAGGTGTGTCCCAGGTAGACCCGGGTGAGCCTGTCGAGGTAGCTGTTGACTCTCGTCCTGCTAGGGGTGCTGAGCCTGGGGGTGCTGAGTCTGGGGGTGCTGAGCCTGGGGGTGCTGCGTCTGGGGGTGCTGAGCCTGGGAGTGCTGAGTCTGGGGGTGCGGAGCCTGGGGGTGCTGGGCCTGGAGGTGCGGAGCCTGGAGGTGCGGAGCCTGGAGGTGCTGAGCCTGGGGGTGCTGAGTCTGGGGGTACTGAGTCTGGGGGTGCTGAGCCTGAGCGTGCTACACCTGGAGGAGCCCTCTCCTCCCAGCAGCTGCAGGAGAGGTACCTCGAGTACTGCCGCCTCCGGAGAGGTGCTGCTGGAGCTCGTCCCGGTGCTTCCCCTCCTACCCAGGAGCTCCCCCCCATTCAGCAGATCCGCGAGTGGTACACACGGCGCTGCAGTCTTCGGAGTGGTGCTCCTGGTGCTGCGGACCCTGGGGGTGGCGCTGCTGCTAGTGCTGAGGACCCGGACGTTGGAGCTGCTGCTGGTGCTGAGGACCCGCCTGGTGGAGCTGCTGCTGGTGCTGAGGACTCGGACGCTGGAG